AGGTTAATCAGATCTAGTATGGATGTGTTGATTAGGGGAAAGACGTCTTTGAGCAACCCGGTCGGGATTGTTAGAAAATAACCCAATTCTTTTGTTGGAAGCCCAGGAAGTGAAGACAGGAGAGGACTGTTTAAAATCCATCCTGTTTCGTCAAAATAACATCCCGTTTTTCAAAATAAAACCCAAAATACATATAAGCGTAAAATAAAGATAAACATTGCTCACAAATGAATAAAATTAAATTGTTACCCCTTTCTAGGCTGTTACAATATTTTTTTTTCCTAAAGCTGCCCCCAAAACTGTCAAAATTTTCCCCCATAATGTTAAAACAAACAAATGAAATAAAATAAAACGTAGCATACACATCATGGCATTATAACATCATTATACCATTTTACCAGTGCAGCTCCTATGTATATTTGTGGACCTCTGACCTGTCTGCTCCTGACCAGTCCAGTCCTGTTTTCCACCATTTCGTGTCTCCTTTCGTGTGGTCGCCATGACACTGTTCCCTCTGGAACTTCTCCCCTAAGGAGCTATTAACACAACTGCAGCAAACTTCTTTTAGCTTGTTTCTTAAAATGGCATTCTGCATGTTTGGTGAATTCTGAAGTATCATGAAGTGCGTGATGATTTGCTTAATGTCTTTGTAAGGGAACTGTCGGTTTGGGGGAGACAGCCTCTCAAATAAAAATTAATCAGAGACAGTGCATCGGCCACAGATGTTCCGTGGAACTGGTTTTCTTTTCAGGGCTAAATATTCGTGTGGTTTGTTGTTGCAATGATTCAAGGCAGGCTTTCCTTGCCTTGCCAGGTGAAGCGGAGGGTCCTGGACTCTCTTTTGATGGTCGAACGGGTTTGACAGGAGCTTTGGGTATGGGTCTCCTCTAAAAATCTGTTTTCCTATTAGTTGGACTAATTTAGCACAGTTGGCCTGCGTTAGTCAACCTTTAAACCCATATTTCTTTTCCCATTCTGTTAAGTATTTGATATTCTTATCATTTTTGTAGTTCATATTTTGCGTTCCCACTTAATTCTGTTGGAGTTCTCTTGCACCAACTATTTCCCTTTATTTTGATTTTCCCCTCTCAATCAGTCAACTCAACTTTGTTATCACTGTGTGGTATCCACTGTCGGCTTTCTGAGAGACTGAGTAGGTACTTACCCTCGTTTTTTCTTTTAATTAAATATATTTTATTTCACACAGACACACACAAAGTTTTCAGTCATGCATACCTCTGTTCCTAACTTTCTTCAGACATACATCACACTCACAGTGAAGCAATAAGCATTTAGACACATATTGAAGTCCAGACTCATCTGTGTACACAAAGCGCTTTGAAGTGGGAACTCTTCCCCAAAGGAAAAACCATGATAATCCAGACTTATCAGATCTGAATAAGTTGTCAGTTCATACACACAACCCCACAGTCGAACTAATTCAATTTAATGCTCTTCAATCGGTTTTATACACCAAACCATAAACAGTACAGACCTTACTCTATAGCTTTAACTTAGATTTTTTTCTTTAAACCAATATAGACATATTTATAGTGGACATTTAGCTTATTCAATCTTTGTCCATTAACTACTGATTTTTAGCACTCAATTGGCCGTATTTATTCAACACAACGAACATGGAGCAGTGCAAACAGGTAAATATCACGACGAACATGGAACATTGCAAACACATAATCAGACATATAAAAGCAACACCACGGTATCCTGCAAGCATTTGAAGCTAATTATTTACAACAGTTAGTCATAGTGTTAGTTTTAACATTGTAACAACAGCAGCGCTTTCCCCCGCCTGTGGAATAAAGCAAGTTAGTCGGTCTCCCACATGAATTATGGGAGAATCACTTCTTCTGCAATTGAATATATATATATATA